TAGGCTTTTGTGCAGTAAAATTTCAGAGGGGCTGTTCTCCTTTCTGCCCCAACCCTGCATCTTCAAATCAAAAGCCACGTGGGTCTGTTGTGGGTTATGTAAAAATCCATGTAGAAGGGCTCTCTCTCTCCAGGGAACTAAAAACATACTGTGAATGACTGAATCTTGCAAATTAATAAATTAAGAAATGTATTAAAGCAAAGATATTGCCTCAAAAGTGTTTTTTAAATTTATTTTCACAATTGGCTTGAATAATTTATTAGAATATTTCATAATGTGCCAGTAAATGGACTGCTGGGAACATTTAGGGAAAAATAATTAAGTCTTAGCAAGAGGGCACCTCAGCACAGTATTTTTTCTAGTGTCAAATCTTTGAAAAATGGGTGTGTAAATACACAACCTGGCTCTGGGGATTCCTGAGCACCAAACTGCAGGTGCCCAGGTTGAATTCCAGACTCCCCTGAAGTGGCTGGGAGCATTAAAGCTGATCCCCAGCAGTGCAGTGTCCCTCCTGATGCAGTTATCCAGAGCCTGGGAAAGCACATACCCTCTTCTTCTCCACCTGGATGATAAGTCTTTGTCACAATTTGCTCACTAGAGGTTGAAGAACAACATGTGGAAAGGGCCCAAATAAATCCCAGGATTTATTCTTACCAATCTGTGTATATCCCCAGCAAGACCACGCTCACTTGTAAAATAAAATGTACAAGGTTTTAATTTAAAGAGACTTTTTTTTTTTGCCATGTGGGGCAGCCTGGGCTGCTTCAGCAGCTCAAATGTGCCACCTTGGAAGTGTCTTTAGTGATGGAGCTTCAGTATGAGCCACCCTGACTGTGTTGTCTCCGTGCAGAGGTGGCTGCTCTGCTTTGGGGAGGTTTCTGGTGCTGGAGGCAGCATCAAACCAGGGGGCAGTTAAACATGACCAGTTAGTAACAGGATTGGAGCCTGGGAGAGTCCCAGTGCTTGTGCTCAGCTTCCAGTTCTACCCCTGATTTCCAGGTGACTTTGGACATATGATTTTCCCTTTCTGTGATTCTCTCTCTGCAGAGAAACTTTACTACTTGAATCCTGAGATCTTCAGGATGAAGATGCTTTAGTGTTTGTTCTTGGAGTCAACCTGTGGATAAGGACTGGTTTTAGTGAAGGTCTTCAAGTAGTAGCTTTATATTAAAAAAAATAAAGAATTAGATAATGCCTGATGTTTTTAAAATACCCTCTAGTAACTAATGGAAATGCACCAAGAGGGAAGGGAAGGAGAAGCAGCTCACCCTCCTGGCTGGGCTTCCTGCAGAGGCCTCCACAGCAGGAGGCTGCAGTGGAGCTGGCAGGTTGGAGCCTGGATTGCCCTCAGAAGCAGATGAGCTGACACCCCCTTCTGTGTGGCTGGGCTGGGGGATGTTCTGGTTAGTTTTTTTCCCAGGTGTTGATGCACTCTCAGCTCATTCTGTTCTGCCAGTGAATACTGAAAAACCCCTCCTTGGTGAACAGTAAACAGGTGCTTAGAAATATGATTGTGTCCTCAGCTGAAGATTGATGGTGGTTGTTGGAGTTTTCTTCCTATTGAGAAGGAATCTCAAAAGTGAAAAGTCCTTGATGCTCTCACCACTTTTTGCCTGAGTAACCAGTGGGATGCTCCACACTTCCAGTTTTCACCTCTGGTCCTGGCTAGCAGGGGCTGTGTTGGTTGTGTGGCTGCACAGCCTGCCCTGGCCACCTCCCCGGGGGAAACTGAGGCACTCTGAACTATTGTCTGTATGTTGGGTGGGGTTTTTTAAGTAAAACCAGCTTTCTGAAGTATCCTGGGTATTTACATCAGCGTACACTGGCTAAAGGTGAAGATGAAGTTGCTCTCAAAGCTGTAAAACTGCCACATGGGCCTGATTTAAGGAATTAAACAAACATTCCATTCCCATCCTTTCTGTTTACATCTTAATTTTGTCCATTATCTTAATGTGGGACAATTTACTGGGAAAACAAATGAAGTCAGGACAGAGCTTCCCAAGAAGTGGAAGCTCCAGGTCACTGCTCTGACCCCAAGCAAGTGGCAGCCCCACCAGTACAGACCAGCTGCTGGAACCAAAGCAGCAGAACATCCTGTGTGAGCACCAGTAGCACGAGACAAAACTTGAAACCTGCTTTATACCAATGAAGTAGCATCAAAGTGGCTCTTGGTTTATTGATGGGCAGCATCTTTGCAAAAGATGTGCAGTTATGTACCAACTGGGTGCTGTTTGCTTTCTTTTTCTGGGGGGGAAAGCTGAATTTAGAGGGGTTTTTTTATTGGTTTTGTTTTGTTTTTCAAGTGGCCACTTGAGCAGAGGGGTTGGTTGCTTCCAGTAGCTGGTTGTGTAATTGTGCACACGAGTCAGACATTCATTTGTGCCTTCATTTTTTTTCTTTTTCCTTTTTTACTGCTGTGTCCCTGAGCTACTTTGGTTTCTAAATTCAGGCCCTACATATTTATCTGTGCCAGTCAATTAGACCACATCCCCAATGCTGCTCTATAGTTTCACAGTATGTGGGAAATTTGGTAATTAAATGCATGCAAATGCTGCAAGAATAGAATAAATTAATTTCTTCCTTCATATCAGCAAGCTGGTCTGTGATGTTTCTGGAGATAATGTCACCAAGATCCTGGCTTTCCTTTCCCCCTCTTGCCACCTTGTTGAGTCTTTAGAGTTATTACTCTCAAAATACCTGGTCAAGTCTGTGTGAGAAGGATCCTTGCCCAGAATAGGCTGTGGAGTTACATAAGGAGGGAGCTTTATACTGAGGGGTTTTTTGATCTCCAAATCAAACCTGAGGTGGAAGCAGCGTTTGGTTCAGTTCTGTGTGTGTGGAGCAGCTTTGGATTTGCATGTGAATGAGAGTGAAGGAGTTGCAGGGAATAACCTGACATGGCTTGGAAGGATGCTCTGCACGAGATGTTCTGGCTTTTGGAAATACCCCAGGTGTTGGGTCACAGGCTGGGACCTCCAGGTATTATTTTTTTTTAAAAAAAGAGCTCAGTTATTTCTGTGCTGTGTTGACTCCTGAGTTCCCTGCAATCCATGGGGTTGTGGTTCCCCCTCTCAGACCCGAGCTCATCCATTCGGATGGGACCTGCCTCATGTTGGTGCTGCCTCTGGTCCTGTGAGCTCTTCCCACACGAAGTCTGTCCTGACTTCAAAGCCAAGGGCTGGAAAGGCCACTGGTGACCAATGTCACCCTGAAATAGCCGAGCTGTGACAGTTCAGTCCCGTATCGTGGGGTTCAAGGAATTTGACAGTCTCTTTTCTTCCAGAGATTCAGAATCTTTCCTATTTATTTTGATGCTGCCTCTGTGTGAGCTTAAAAGACCTGATGGTCTTTTTTCCTTGATGGACCTTATCTCACACAGCCTTAGGATTCTCTCTGTGCCACGTACTCGTAGCTATTCTGCCTTTCCTCCTGAATTTGTTGCCACGTTGGTGTCTGGGTTCCTCCCAGAAGTGCCAAAGCCGTGTCAGGGCTGGGTTGTCTTCCAGCCTGCAGCACTGCAGTGCTGTTGCATCAGTGCAGGGCTCCTGTCATTCCTCTCCTCTCTTGGCCTCATCCTGGAGTGTGAAGAGCTTGAAGAGGAACCAGGAGCTCAAGAAATGCAATAGGTTGGTGTTGCTGGTTCCCGAGCAGGAGCTTGGCAAGAGGGGCAGAGCTGCAGAGGGTCTGTAGGCGGCTGGGTTGGGATCCAGGCACTTCCTCGCAGCTCCTCTCTTCTGTGGGAGAGGGAGGAGGGAGCCAGGTGGTCCCCAGAGGGACAGCTGAAATCCTGGCAGATCTCTGTGCTCCCCTGCAGGAGGGAAACCCTGGGAGGTTTTCCTCAGCTGTGTCTGTTCCTCGTCCACTTCCCTTCCCATGAAGTGCTCGTCTGCGCTGCGCCCGCTGCAACGAGGGCTCCGTGTCTAACCCACATCATTCCAGAAGTTTCACATTCAGAAATTACTGTTGTACTTGGTGGAAGTCTCTTCAAAATAGTTCATGCTTAGGGCCTGAAATGAACAGGAAGCCTGATAATTAATTATCTGGATGTAAAGTGAAAGGGTGCAGTTTGACTTCCCGTAGCAGCGATGTGGTGTGCTCAGAGTGGGAAGAGGTCTTGGTCCTACCTGGAGACACCAGAGTCCTTAGGAAACTTCTCCATAACTGCAATAAGATCTGATGGGACACGAAGGAGCAGATTTTTCAGAAGAGCTCAGCATATTCCATGCACATTGGCTCCTAAACCCAGCCCCAGGTTACTCCTCCTTTGGGCTGTGTTGAGGGGAACGCTTTGCTAAAAGCACAGGATGAGGAGTGTGCAAACACCCAGGGCTGTGCAGCACCTCTGGACATCTGGTCCTGACTGTGGGAATAGAGCTGGCCTGGGATTTTTAGCTAATAATCAGGTTTTACCTAATAATTGGCTTGCTAGAGAGCAGTGACTGGTAGAATCATTTTTGCAGGAAAATGCTGCTTTGGATAAAGTTGCTTTTAAGGAGGGTTTCTGTAGTCTAGAACAGAGCTGGTGTTCAGGAGCCACCCAGCTCAGGAGAGATCTCAGGGGGCTGCTGGTCCCAGCTCTGTGTCCTGCTCCTGCCCGGGCTGGAAAATGGGGGTGATGGGTAGGGATGGGTGAGTGGACCCCGGGTCTGTGGGTTGTGTTTGGGCTGAAAAGCAGCAGGTCTGCTCACCTGGCTCTGTGGGGACTTGGAGAGCAGAGCTGCTTGTGGCTCCTCAGTGCCCTGGGCTTGGGTGTCTGTTCCCTGGAAGTGTCCAAGGGCAGGTTGGATGGGGCTTGGAGCAGCCTGGGCTGGTGGGAGGTGTCCCTGCCCATGCAGGGGGGTTGGATCTAGATGAACTTGAAGGTCTCTTCCAACTCAACCCGTTCTGAGGTTCTATGATTCTGCTGGGCCTGACTCTGTTCTGCTGTGCTCTTTGCTCCCCTGCAGAGCTGACCTGTCCGGGGAGCAACATCACAAAAGAAGCTGCTGCAGGATGAAAAGATGGCAGCGCGGCTGCTCGCACCACCAGGCCCTGATAGTTTTAAACCCTTCACTCCGGAGTCTCTGGCCAACATTGAGAAACACATTGCAGAGCTGAAAAGGAAGCAGAAGCAAAAGCCAAAGCAAGACAGCAGCCACCGGGACGACGATGAAGACAGCAAACCAAAACCAAACAGTGACCTTGAGGCAGGGAAGAATTTGCCTTTCATCTACGGGGACATCCCAAAAGGCCTGGTTGCTGTTCCACTGGAGGACTTTGACCCTTATTACATGACCCAGAAAGTGAGTCTGCAAGAAGGAAGTCACTAAACGGCCTTTTCCTTAGGAACTTGCAGGTTTGGGTTTGGTTTAAGGAGAAGACAAAAGAATGGAGTCTTTGGATGGGGCTGGTTTGGTTGGTTTGGTGTATTGTTTTTTTTCCTTGAGGTTTAATAGAGATGATGTGATCAGTCTTTGAGTACCTGCTTGGATGGATTTAGGAGAACAAGGTCTGGAAACTAAAAATAGGTGAAGTTGTGATCATGTGCCAGTTTTAACCACAAAGGCAATAAGAAGAATCTGATTGAGGGGAAACAGTTTCACATGTGTATTATTTTACTGGCATGGAATTCAGCCTGAATTTGATCCTAATGAAGGAGTGGGCTGTAGAGTCATGACAAAAAAGAAGTGAGATAAACTAATTAACTCACTTTTATCTTCGTAATTGTTCTTTGAAAAATATTTGTGGAATTCAGGAGGTATTTGTAGGTGCTGAGATGTATTAAGAAATGAAGAGTCATGAGGGGAGTGGTGAGTAAGCAAACACTGGGCTGGAAATGGAGGGAGGTTCTCCTGGTGAAATAAAATCATGACTAGTGATTTTCTTAAAAGGCTAAATGGCTTAAAACTGAGGTTCTCTCCTGCTGTTTAATTTCATTGCTTTCTTTGGTAGGAATTTAATTGGGATAATTACCAGCTGTGCTGTGGGAGGAGCTGGGGTTTGGCCATGCAGGTGACAAGAGTTGTGATGGGACTGCTCAGGACTGTGGTGGAATGGGTGATGTGTGAAGTCAGGACATTGTCACAGGCAACAAAACATTTCCTGACTTGGGTGTTGGGACCAACATTTCCTGCCACACTCAGAGGTGGTTCTGTGAGGGGCAGGGCATT